CCCACCAACAATGTAGGAGGGTTCTTTTTCTCCACACTCTCTCCAGCATTGATCCTTTGTGGACTTTTTAGTGATGGCCATTCTGACTGGTGTGAGGTGATACTTCATTGTAGTTTTGATTTGCATTTCTCTGATAATTAGTGATACTGAGCATTTATTTCATGTGGCTATTGGCCATCTGTATGTCTTCATTGAAGAAATGTCTGTCTAGGTCTTCTGCCCATTTTTTGACTGACTGGTTTCTTTTTTGTTATTGAGTTGTATGAGCTGTTGATATATTCTGGAAGTTAAGCCCTTATCATTTGCATCATTTGCAAATATTTCCTCCCGAGCTACTGGTTGTCTTTTCATTTGTTTATGGTTTCCTTTGCTGTGTGAAAGCGTATAAGTTTAATTATGTACCATTTGTTTATTTTTGCTTTTATTTCTATTGCCTTGGTACGCTGACCTAAGAGAACATTGCTATGATTTATGTCAGAGAACCTTTTGCCTATGTTTTCTTCTAGGAGATTTATGATGTTCTGTCTTACGTTTAAGTCTAAGCCATTTTGAGTTTATTTTTGTATGGTGTGAGAAAGTGTTCTAACATCATTAATTTACATGCTGTTATCCAGTTTTCCCAACACCACTTGCCAAAGAGACTGTCTTTTCTTCATTGTATATTCTTGCCTCCTTTCTTGAAGATTAATTGGCTGTAGGTGTGTGGGTTTATTTCTGGGCTCTCTATTCTGTTCCATTGATCCATGTGTCTGTTTTTGTGCCAACACTATGCTGTTTTGATTACTGTAACTTTGTAGTACTGTCTGAAGTCTGGGAGGGTTATGCCTCCAGCTTTGTCCTTTTTCTTCGGTATTGCTTTGGCTGTTCTGGGTCTTTTGTGATTCCATGTAAAGTTTAGGGTTAGTTTTTGTTTCTAACATTAGTTGTTGTGTATTATCCTTTTAACATATATCATTGAATTCATTTTGCTATTTTGTTAAGAATTTTTGTATCTATGTTCACAAAAGATATTGGTCCCTTGCTTACTTTTTTGTAATACCTAGTTTTCCTGTTAGTGTAATGCTGGCCTCACAAAATGAGTTAAGGGTTCTCATGTTCTGAAAGAGTTCATGAAATCTTGGTATTCATTCTTCCCTAAAGGTTTGATAAAACTCACAGTGAAGCCATTTAGACCTTGAAGTGTTCCTTGCGGGAAGGTTTTTAATTGTGAATGCAACATCTTTAATAGGTACGGGGCTATGCAAGCTTTCTCTTTCTTCTTGTGTATTTTTGGCATTTACTTCTAAATAATATGGATGTACTACAATATTTTGGTTAGTGATTTTTAGACTTGTGTCTACGGACTTCCTATTGTAGTAAGAATTTAGCTGTCTGATACAACTATCCCCTCAGCTCCCTACTCCCCATTCCAATAAACCATCATTTTTTACTAAATATTTGGGGTTTCTATAATAATATGGCTATACAATTATTCATAGATGAGCATTTTTGTATACTATGATTTTATTTCCATTCTTGTTTATTTCCTGAAAGTTGACAGTTGCCTTGATGTTTTTTTCTTTGTACTACTCACTGATAATTCTTGTATCTTCCTAGAGTCTCCTTCTCTTGGAGGCATTTTCTAAATCCTTCTGTTCTTCTCATTTTTGAATTAATTTCTTTTTTAGGTCTGTGGCAGAGCTGTCATCTTGGGAGTCTGTTGTCATCCTAGGAATTCTTTCTTCTTTTTCCCTGATTAGAATCCTGTTTGCTGGATCACATGTCTTACTTTTTCTTGGCTTGTTTACTCTTTCTTGGTTTGTTTAGTTTGCATAAGAACGTAATGGGAGCATGTTTTCCCTGTAGCTTTTTAGGGTTCAAAAGGCAGTAATTGAACAACAGG